AATTATGTATATATCTTATGATTTTTGGGTTTTTGTCTTAGCTTTTGACGCCCAGTATACTTTAAGAAATTATTTGCTAGACATTCTACGTCAGTCCCCTCCACTTGAGAAAAACTCAATCTCTAGTTAACTTGTAGATCTGAATACAAAAGTTCATCTGATGATGAAATGGGTAAATATCCATCACATTAAATGTTTTGGAAATTCCCATTGTATCTAGCAAATCCACAACATATGCATCGTCATTGTGTCTAACGCTAGGAATCAGATCATTATGGTGCTAAAAATCTCTCATGGATGGTAAGCCATCGGGTAAATCTTCTAGCATCACTTTACTAAATTCTTCTAATAATAGTTTAACTACTCCATGATGCTTTACTATTTTTTGATCTTCTTCAATTGATAACACCTGCTTTGCAATCAAAGCATGCACCCCTTTTGACATCTTGAAAGTAGCCTCTATCTCCTGAATGAGTAAGGGTAAAAAAAAAGTTTACCCCTCCACTTAAGAAGCTTTTGTTTTGGCACTCCTTTTCATTGGCAATAAGCAAACTTTATGGCACCTTTCTCCAATATATAGATGTTTTCTTTCCCATCATGTTGTGCTGCAACATCAAATTGCCAAAATCTACCAAATAACAAGTGACAAGCATCCATATCCAAACTATTGCAATATACCTCTTCCTTGTATTTACCAATAAAAAAAGGTACCTTGCACTGTTTTGTTACCTGGATCTTTTGTGCTGCCTTAATCCAATCATTAGTATAGGAATTTGGGCGCTTTTTAGCTTTAAAACTCAAACTCTCCACAATATCTTTACCAATAATATTCTCACAACTACCATTATAAATAATTACATCAAATAAACAATTAGTGATAGTGCATCTAGTTCAAAATAAATGATTCTGCTAAGTGTTATTCTTTTATTTTGGAGACAACATCATTCTTTTTACAACATAGTTCTGGCCATCGTCATAAATCTCATACTCGCCATCATCCCCATCCGAATCACAGCAAATCTCATCATCGTCTTTTCCTTGTTCCACTACATGAACTGTTTTTCTGATAGGACAGTTACTGGATCTGTGACTAAATTGATTACATTTGAAACACTTTCTCGGAGTTGGTTTGACATAAGGATTTGCAATTTTTTGCCCTTCCTTTGCATGTATAACCTTTTATTTTTTAGTCACCTTTTCCTCTTTGTACTGGTCATTGCATGCAAAAATATCGTGAACCTATTTATTTCTGTCATTGGACATTCTATAATTATCCCCATTGTAACTCTTGTGAGAATAATCAGGTATGTTTTTTTCTTGCAATATTATTTCAACCTTTAAAGTAATATTTCGTGCTTTAGATAAATTTTGCAATACCTATACCCCTTTCTTTTCTTTGATAACTGGCTTCAACCCTTCAAGATACTTAGCAACTTGTTGCTCTTTGGTCTCTCTCAAGTCATTCCTTTCCGCCGGCCTCATAAATTCAGTAGTGTACTCATGTATAGTTTTCTGACCTTGATTGCATCTTTGGTATTTCTAGAAGAAAATTTGCTCATAATCAGGAGGAAAAAAATCTTTCTGTAACAATTGCTTCATCTTGAATCAAGTTCTAACTAGTGCTTTTCTTTCACGATTCCTTCTATACTGTAACCTTTCCCACCTTGCAAAAGCTCCACCTTTTAATCTGCAAGCAACAAGTCTCACTTTTATTCTTTCTGGAATCTCCATAAATTCGAAAAACCTGTTTATTTCGGCAATTCAATCCAAAAATTCTTTAATATTCAAATTCCTATTAAAGCAAGAAATATACACCTTTAATTTGAAAGCTTTGATATCTCAATTACCATAATTATTCATTTTATATTCAGTGTATCTCATAAGTTGTGCAAAATAATCATCTTCTTCGTCAAAATCTTCCATGTAGACCTGTTGTCTGCACCCATTTGTAGGAACAAGTTTTTCGATAGGATGTTTGTGAGCTACATCATGACTGGTATGTGGCGTTTCGTCATTCTTGTTGCTGTTGGCATATACGCCTAAAGAATGAAATCAATTTGTAATTTCTTCAAAGTGTCATTCCAAACGCTAGAATTTAAGATCCATTTGTTGCTCCAAAGCCCTCAACGCCACCCTTTGATCTTACACTATAGATCGCAAGGTCTCAGTTTCATGATTTTCGCCATGAGAATCGTCGCTTACCATAACAAGATCACTTGCCATTAGATTGGGCAAGTTTTCTCGCTCTAATACCAACTGACGCAGCAAGTTAAAGTGAAAACAAAGCCTTGCACTCGCCAGAGCCTTTAAGATTAATAACCAAGTTTCAAACACAAAAACTTACACTTAAAATTTGAGAGAAAAGAGAATATTATTAAATAATTCAAAGAAAATAAGTTAAGTTGTCTTAAAACTAAGTCTAAGGGTACTATTTATAATAATCTAATCTTACTTAACCTAAACTTAGAGTGCAAGTAAAGTAAATTAAAATAAAAAAGTATTCTACCCTAGAATTTTTTAAAGTATAAGAAAAGTAAATTCCTAAACTTAAGCGTACTTGTCTTCCAAATAAAATAAAATTTTAAAAAAATCTGTTATATCTATAATTTCTATGTAAAACTCTTAACTAAATAAGAAAAATATTAAAATTATAAATATACCCATTTATGATTTTTGAGCTTTGATCTTGACTTCTGACGCCCAACCTCCTTTAAGAAATTGTATATTAGACATTCTACATCAAATTCAATGTTCCTTTTACTGTAGTCTCAAGTGAATGTAGAAAGTGGTTAGGACACAAGAATTAGGATAGAGATACCAAAAAGAAAAAAATAGGAGAATGGGGTAGGGAATGCACTTGGGAGTTTGGAACTCATCTCATCATTTGATCGTTAAACATCACTGTTAGCCCAATTATTTGCCAAAATTGTGTGCATGGATTTCTTAGCAAATAAAAACAAGGAAACAACAGAAAGGGGAAACCTAATTGCTTGTTAAAGAGGAAGCAAACTGTAGCGAGGAAACTAGCAGAGTGGGAATGATAGGGAAAGGGAGCCCTACATGTGTGCTGTGTAAAGTTGGTATGGAAACAGCAGAACACTTATTTTTTCTATGTAAGGAATCATGGAAGTTGTGGGGTACGTGGTGCAGTGATTGGAATTTATCGTGGTGTGCCCCCAGTGACTCGAAAGCTTTTTTCCTAGCATGGAACGGGATGGACGTTAGAGAGGGGGACAAGCCATGGAGGATATGTCTTTCTCTGCAATGCTGCGGACGATTTGGCTATTACGCAATGAGGTGGTTTTTAAAGAAAAGCAGTGGGATGCAAGCCAAGCTTATGACCTGTGAAGCTGCGGATGGCAAATTGGGTTAAAGCCAAATGACCGGATATGGTAGGGAGTACGCTGTACATTTATCGACTATTGTTAATGGCCAAAACAACAACGAAAGAAAAGAAGCCCAGGAGAGTTGTCCAAAGGAGTCCACCTTCTGCTAGATGGATGAAGTTCAACGGCGATAGGGTGGCTAGAGGTTGCCCGGGTTCGGCGGGCATAGGAGGGGTAATGAGAAATGAAAAGGGAGAGGCATAAAGGTTACATTTTCTAAGTCGATTGGCGAAGCGGATGCCAATTTTGCTGTTCTGCTGGTTATAAAGGAAGTTTTTACTACTTTTGCTGATTCAAAGTAGGCTGACACGCATGCACTCTTGGTGGACAGTGACTCCACGAGTTGGCTCCCTGGCAGCACAGAGTTTGGGTTCTAAGAATCGAAAACTTGAAAAGAGAGTAAGTAAATGGGAAATTAAACACATACTTGGGAGAGCCAACGAGATGGCGGATGAGCTGGCTAAGGAGGGGGTTTGTAGGGAGTTTGATCTATTAAATGTGGTACATTGACATGCTTTTACTTTTTGATGGCTATAGAATGATTGACATATCCCCTGTTTCTTATGGGAAGTCTTTTTGTTGTTGTCACTTTCTCATTGGGGTTTCTGGGTTTAGTACTAAACTAGCGGGTTTGGTTGTGAGATTTGCTCATTTCGTGTTGGTATTTGAGGTCTGTGCTGTAGTTAGTGTGTACTACCTGGTGCTTGATTTACAAGGTGTGATACAGAGGAAAGAATTCAGTTGGAGTGTAGTCTCCTAACCGTGCGCTCAGGTGGCTTATCTTGTTGTGTTTATACTTGCTGTTGTGCTCTTCTATGCGTGGAACTGCGGTTTATGTCCATATGCAGGAAGAGATTGCCTTGATTTACAGGAGGCATGTGGAGCTGGTTTCTGCCATGTTTTCTTTCGGCTGGTGGTGGTCCATCCTAAGTGCTCTGTGAGGCTACTGTATCATTATGCGGGGGTTGCGGTAGGATGACAGTTTTTGTTTCTCTCTGTTTACTGATGGCTGGGAATATTTTTACTGAGTGGATGAGTTCTATTGGGTTCGAAATTTTTGTCAGTGTGAATAGATTGTGTAGGCAGGGGTATAGTGAAGTTTTGAGGTCTTTGTCCAAGATGTGGCTTCGAAGACAGGAAAACTTCTTTTTGTAGCCCAGGGATCCTCTCCCTGTTTACTGGCAATGAAATCTAAACTTTCAAACAAAAAGAAAATTCATACCACTGCATAGAAAGTGTCTGTTTAATCTTCTTTTTCTGTTCCAATACCTGCTCTCTTCCATCATTCATCCTTTTCCCTTAAGCAAGATTCAATGCTATAGAAAGAAAGCCCGACTTACCTCACATCAATGATACAGTGCATGAAGGGACTCAGGAACAGAATTCTTCTTGCATTCTATAGCCAAAAAGCAAATATCACTTGCCGAATCGTGTTTTGAGAGATTAGACTTGAGAAAATGTTGAAAACTGAAATCATATGGAATTATAATAAGAAGTGTGTGTAACTATTATACTTGGAGTTGAAAAGCACTAGTGGTAACTCTGTTCTCTGTCAATTCTGGGTTACCAAACAATGGTAGACTTGTAGTAACAAATAATACCCCGAGAACAACATTAAAAGCAACAATCTTGATATTCAAATCGCATTCGAAAGGATCAACAGTAGAGTTGATAGAACCACAAAATATCCTACACAACTTTAAGAACAACAGTCAACAGCAACTTTCCTTGCTTTTCAGAGCAGAAGAAGCAAATTTCCATCTAAGAACTATTTTCTGTCATCAAATACGCATAACTAGTAACTACCGTATCTACATACAACAAAAAGTGAACTTAACATCATCATCCTTTGTCAACTACCCCTCACTTCTTTGTCTTCTTTGCCACCTTCGCCTTATCCCCAGACTTCAAATCCTTCGTCTTCAATCCCTCAGGGGTCTTAACCTGACTCAAACGCTTCAATTTCAAGCCCGAAACCGGCTTCTTCACTTCCTTTTTAGCTTTCTTGAGAGCCTCTGGGGTCTTAACCGGACTCAGCCTCATGGTCTTGACGCTTTTTGCAGATACCTTGTTTGCAGCCTTTTGGGATGTTGAGGCCTTCTTCTTGGCAGCACCTTTCTTTTTCTGGGTCTCTTTGATCGCCAACATGAGCTTTTCCGTTGAAGAAATCTTGTAGGAATTCTTGACCTTCACAAGCTTCTCGGATTTCACGAGCTTCTTCAGCTGAACAGATAGCAGTTTCTTGAAATTCGAGGGCAGCATTTTGTTGTACTTGTCCTCAATGATTTTGGCTATCGCTGGCTGGCTTGACCCTGTCCGGTCCCTGAGCGTCGATATTGCTTCACAAATCATCTGCAATTACAAAACACAAAATCAAAAGTCAAAACCCAGAAAAAAGAAAAGACTTGAAACTAAGATTGATGAGCACAAAGAAGATGAAAACAGGGGACCTCAAGGTAAGGAGGATGGGGAGAAGAAGGGGAAGAATTGGAGGTTTTGGTTCCCTTCCTTGTAGAACCAACTGTTGCTTTTGCCATTGTTTCTGAGAGAAGGACAGATTGGAGCAGCAAGATGAAATGGGAATCGAGTGATTCAAGTTTCCAATAAAAGTTTCAATTTCAAAATTGTTTTAGGCGGGATTGTTTGCAAACCGTGTGGAGCCATTGGATTAGATGGTGACAGGGTTTTCTTCTCCCTCTTTTTGTGGGGGATTTTAGTCATCTGAACCCATTATTATCAGTTACATACGCATTACGACTTGTGAAAATTCAGTCGTGGTCTCGTAGGTTTAATGGGCTTTGCGTAAAAGAATAATACGGGGCAGCTTGGAATTTGGATATTGTCACCTGAAAAACACAATAAAAGAGAAACATCAAGAAAAACATGGCCTAACTATAAAATTATAGACAGATTATTACTCAAATCCAAGGTACTTGAATACCCGTAATAATTTTTAATCTAGAAATGAATATGTAAGCAAACAGAATGAGTTGAATACTACTAACATTTAAGCTATACAATAATATAATCTTTTCTTACATTATCTGGTTGGGTTATGCAATTCGTTTTGGTACATAGGCTTATAGCAATTGTATTAGATCAATATAAATGAAAACTTTGGGGGATATTTTGTTTTTCCAAAATGAATATCCACCACAATATCATCCCCAAAGCTCAATCCTCTTGCCCGCAATGCACTAGGGGGACGGACGTTTACTTTTTGGTCCCATGCATGTTTATGGAAAAGATTAAGTGACGGCAATTGTCAACTTATATTGACGACTAGGTTGAGATTCCTCCCCAGATAAATAAATAAAAACAACCTAGTAAGGAAGCAAGCTTAATTAATTTGGGCCATGACCACATGCGCCTAAACCCAAACCTCCTCCTCCAAGCAATATATACCATCATTCTTCAATAATGCATCACATGGATGTGCATTAACAGCATCTTTAATCCTAAAACTTAGTTTCAGTCATATGAATCAATGCCTTCCATGAGTACGAAATATAAAATAAAATAAAATAAAAGGCACGCAACAAGATCTCTGTTATAATCGATTCCCAGGTCCCCCCCTAGATCTGACTATTTTCGACCTTGGTCACTCTTAAAAAATTTTATCTAGGAACTTTCCACCTCACACCTCAAAAAAGGAACCATTAAAGCAGAGACCGTGCGCTTTCGAAATAAAATCAGGTATGGATGCCATGCAAAGATGCTCAAAGCATCTGCCATTTTGTTAACAAATTTTGAACAGTAGAGAGATGGCTAAAGGTGCACCGAATAAGGCAAAGTGGACGTTTGCATGGGCAATTGACAAACAAAAGATTGACATATGGAAAATTACAGATCCATCTATTTTTGCAGCATCACTAAGAACACAATGAACAGATTAGCTGAAAATTACAGATAAGAGTGAAAACACAAGCAAGATTTCTTAATTTCGTAATTAAAAATGAACCTTATTTCTAGCTTTGGCCTTTTTCTGGACACCTAATTCAAGCAGATTACATACCCTTCTAGAAATTTGGTAATTAACCCCTAGTTAGCTAGATAGATGAGCAACATAAATATTACTACAACACAAACTAAAAGAAGCATTTCTTTGGGTGCGCTTAGAAGGAGCTGAAGGAGGCCGAAAGCAATAGAAGAATGATAGAAGCTACGAGCTTCAGTTTCAAACAGTTGGAGCAGCAGCCGACTCGGAAGATGGAGGGTTCTGAAAGCTATATGGGAAGTAAGGAACCTCTTCGTCCGGTGGCGAATAAACCGCACCTCCCATCACTACAGGCTGGTCCCTAGTAGGCCCCTGCGGTGTCTGACATGCATTGCAAGGTGGTGAAGGCATCCAGAGCAGGGTGGACGGCACCCAGAGCATGGTGGAGGGCATTGGGGCACGGTGGCGGAGGTGGTAAAGGTATCGGTGGTGGCGGTGATGGCGGTGGCGGTGATGGCGGTGGAGGAGAAAGCGGAACAGGCGTGGTGGGCAGTTAATCACAGGGGGTGGTGACGGTGGAACTTCCGGTCTGCAAGAATTGCATTTTATTTCTTCTTTGGATGTTGTTGTTACAGTTGTTGATGTGGCGGAAGGGAAGGCAAGCAGTAAAGTGAAACCAGCGAGTAGCATTTGCATGGGATACGCCATTGCCATTTTTGGAACTCAACGATCAAAGGAAAAAAAAAACCCTAATAAAAGCTTGGAGACTAAGGTTAATCAGGGCATATGAAGAAGGAAGAGGACGATAGTGAGAGGAAGACAGAGGCAAAGGAGTGCATGTGTATTGGTGGCCGCAGCATTGTTCATATTTTATCTTCTATGGCACCATTATCAAAAGAAATAAAAATTACAAAAAATAAATTCCAAAAAAACACTAAAAGTGTAGTCTCCTTCCATCCACGCTTTCGCTAAACATCAATTTGGCCATATCGCTATCAAGCCATAAAGAAAACCAGGGATCAAAAACATTTGTAACACAGTTAGAAAATTATTAGGAAGAACAAGGTGCTGGCTTTTATGCCAAAATTGTTACTATCGTGCATAGCACAACTATATATAAGGTGATTAGTGTAACATTTTAATCTAAAATGTGCTATTTACCATGTTTTTTAGGGTAATTGAGAACCGTAAATGAAAGTGATAAACATATCTTTTGATAAAAAAAATAATATTAGACTCATTTAAAATATGTGAAAATTGAAATGATATTGAAAGGTTTAGACAAACAAATGTTAGAAAAGAACAAAGTATGAAAAATGGACCACACTAATTGGTGGCTACCCATAACTCAATCCTGATGATATCCGTGGTGTAAGTTGATGGAATTCTGCCACCGACTAAGCTAATTATTGAAAGAAATGAAGACACTTGCCTTTGGTAAAGTAATTTCATATCATCTCCTTTCTATAACCGTAAGAACACAAAAATTAAAAAAAAAAAAAGCAAAAACAAAAACCAGTAGGCAAATAAATTCTTTGAACAAGACAATCATTGTTTCCTTTATTGGAATCTTTACACTTTTGTTTTTGTTTTTTTTGTTTTTGGCCAGATTGTAATTTTTCAACTCAAGCATTAATACTTTGTTTTTAGGTACTGACTCAAGCATAATACAGTGCAGTAGATTGGAGGCATGCAAAGTTAAAACGGTACAAGTTAATTTCATGGATATTGGGAAGGTCAAATCTTAAATTTTCAGCTGTCTAATTAAAGATATAAGGTGGCTGCACCTTAATTTGATTCTTCCTCGACGACGACGTCTCCTTGCCTAGTTTAGGTAGCTGGGCTTTTCCCAAGCAGATGCTGTACAAAAAAAAAAAAAAAAGGGAGCCATTGAAGATTCACATTCCAACTTTTGAGGTCGCATCTTTTCTAGGATCAAGGAATTTTGGGAGGACCAACGAATTTCATGATCTGTTTTTAAGGAACATTTCCCTCGCAGTTTTTTTAATTTTAATTTTACAGTTTTTTAATCACAATGAAATTAAGTAATTATGTAAAGATTTAGTGAGTATAAATGTGAACTTTATATAATATTTTGATAAATTTTACATACAAAAGACAAATTAGATAATATTTCGTATTTTGGTATCAATTCTGGTCTCTCAAGTTTTAATAATAAGATGCTATATTAATATCATTATTAATCTATAAAAATAATTAGTGATATTTTTATATTTTTTGTGAAAATTCAATATTTTTATCCAACAAAATGCAATGTATGAAATTCATTTATTATATATTATATTTTAACGTAATCTCTTATTGACTTTTTTATCAAACAAATTGTAATTTTGATCGCTATTTTTTAAAATATTACACATTATTAAAATTTTTTGAAAAACATGATTTGAAAATTTTGTAATTTAAAATTCAATAATTGAAATGTTATTTTTAAAATTTTAAATTTTTATTTTTAAAATCTTTTTTCTATTTTTTTTAACGAGATCAAGGCAAGAGAAATAATTCGCCCAACAGTGGCCTAACACTTTGTTTGACTTGAAGCCTAAAGTAGAGGCCAGATGTTATGTACCGGTCAGTAGTCATTAATCTCATAATGTAGAGGATGTCATGGTTCACAAGAAATCATGAATTCGGAAGATATAATTTTAGAGAAAGCAATGAATCCCTTATCAGTTTTATATTTGGGAGATCCTGCGTTTGTTAGAGAGGGAAAATGGAAGTGAAATCAACAGAAAATTAAAGAGAGGTTGCTTGAAAGAATAAAGGAAGCACAGAGGTGAGGAGAGAAGAAACGGGACAGCTTGCCCGCGATCTGAGCAGCGAGAGTGAACGCCACGAACTTGCAACGTGATTAGAGAAAAAGAGAAATTTTTGGGTGGGGAATGAAAGAAAGAAAGCGAGCGGAGAGAAAAACAATAAATCACGTACTTGTCTCATGACCTGTGACTTAATCACTTTAAGTGACTAAACGATGTGTGGGAGACACTCTCCCAACACCAATAAAATTTATTATAAAATGCAAAATATTAAGAAGAAGTGACCTTTTAACTTGGACAAAGTGAATATAGGTTTAATCCCAATCCCAATTTGAGCAAGTAGCCAACCTTTCTTCCATGCTGATAAGCTAACATAAAAAGAATTTTCAAACTGCATACTAAATGCTATAGATGTTAATTAATTACCATTATGCTTGTAGTACCTTTCCTTTGAAGTTTGAAGGATGGTTTTAATCTTAGGTGGCGTTTGGTACATTACAATGCAATGTGATTACAGGTAATG